TTTATTTTTATTTAAATATAATTTAAATAAAAATTTTTATTTAATATATGTTCTAATTATTTTTTAAAATAAAAATAAAATAAAAATAAACATATTAAATAACATAAAAAATAAACAATTAAATTTAAATGTCTCAAATAAAAAATTAAGTCTAGTAAAATTGAAAAAGGGAGTAGTTTATATTGTTGTGAGACATTTTTACAATTCCTTTCATGCTTTGTATTGAATAAAGAGAAGCTCCTTCATACTAAGAAGTGAACTCTATTTTATAGTATATATAATTCAAAATGCAAAATAATAAATTCTTTTTAAGTTTTCTTTGTCAATGCTTCACTTAGATTTTCTTTTTACACAATACATTATCTAAAAATATAAATTTACAATTATTAATTAATTTTAATTAATTATTTATATATTTTTAAAATTATAAAAGATAAAAAAAAATCTATAATTAAAACACAACATACAAAAACAGAGCACTAATGACTTATTAATTGAAATAAAAGAAATTCGATTCTTTTTAAATTTAAATTTTTTAAATAAAAAGCAAATATTATGAAAATTTTATTCTTATAAAATTCAACGCGAATTAATTCTAAAATAGTAAAATTAAAGATAGCTTCTGGATGCTAAAGAATTCAATACCAAAACATAAGACAGTACAGCACTTACAAAAGAAGCACTCGGAATAAAGAAGTGTTGGTTTTTACCTTTATATTTTGTTTTTCTATCTTTGCATCATCATTTTGATTTGCCGATACTTCCCTTTCAGGCGGATCTTATTGGGATTTCTTGGGTCTACATTCAATTAGGGTTAGCAATTGAGATTTTTTTTTATATAAAATAAATTAATTTTAAATGTTGCTTGTTTTCGAGATTAATGTTTTGTTTGGTATTAAAGTCTCACAACACTTTTTTCACATGTCACTTTATTAAAAGTATTAATTTATTATAATTAAATTAATTTTAATTGATATTTATATAATTTAGTAATTATATTCATGCATTACACTATTTTTAATGCAATTATCAAATGGCAATGTTGTTTTTATAATAATAAAATACTCAAAAAAATCACTACTATAGCACTCCATAATAATTTTAAACATAGTGTAAGTCTTCTTTTTTTTTTCCCATTG